ATCCCTCTAATCATCTAAGTGATTATGTGATCCAAATCAACTAAACCATGTCGGATCATCACGTGAGATGGAGTAGTTTCATTGGTGAACATCACTATGTTGATCATATCTACTATATGATTCACGCTCGACCTTTCGGTCTCCATGTTCCGAGGCCATATCTGTATATGCTTGGCTCGTCAAGCATAACCTGAGTATTCCGCGTGTGCAACTGTTTTGCACCCGTTGTATTTGAACGTAGAGCCTATCACACCCGATCATCATGTGGTGTCTCAGCACGAAGAACTTTCGCAACGGTGCATACTCAGGGAGAACACTTCTTGATAATTTAGTGAGAGATCATCTTATAATGCTACCGTCAATCAAAGCAAGATAAGATGCATAAAAGATAAACATCACATGCAATCAATATAAGTGATATGATATGGCCATCATCATCTTGTGCTTGTGATCTCCATCTCCGAAGCACCGTCATGATCACCATCGTCACCGGTGCGACACCTTGATCTCCATCGTAGCATCGTTGTCGTCTCGCCAATTTTATGCTTCCACGACTATCGCAACCGCTTAGTGATAAAGTAAAGCATTACAGCGCGATTGCATTTGCATACAATAAAGCGACAACCATATGGCTCCTGCGAGTTGCCGATAACTCGGTTACAAAACATGATCATCTCATACAATAAAATTTAGCATCATGTTTTGACCATATCACATCACAACATGCCCTGCAAAAACAAGTTAGACGTCCTCTACTTTGTTGTTGCATGTTTTACGTGGCTGCTACGGGCTTAGGCAAGAACCAATCTTACCTATGCATCAAAACCACAAGGATAGTTTGTCAAGTTGGTGCTGTTTTAACCTTCGCAAGGACCGGGCGTAGCCACACTCGGTTCAACTAAAGTTAGAGAAACTGTCACCCGCAAGCCACCAATGTGCAAAGCACGTCCGGAGAACCGGTCTCGCGTAAGCGTACGCGTAATGTCGGTCCGGGCCGCTTCGTCCAACAATACCGCCGAACCAAAGTATGACATGCTGGTAAGCAGTATGACTTATATCGCCCACAACTCACTTGTGTTCTACTCGTGCATATAACATCAACATATAAAACCTAGGCTCTGATGCCACTGTTGGGTTTCGTAGTAATTTCAAAATTTTCCTACGCTCACGCAAGATCATGGTGATGCATAGCAACGAGAGGGGAGAGTATGATCTACGTACCCTTGTAGATCGACAATGGAAGCGTTTGGTTGATGTAGTCATACGTCTCCACGGCCCGACCGATCAAGCACCGAAACTACGGCACCTCCGAGTTCTAGCACACGTTCAACTCGATGACGATCCGCGGACTTCGATCCAGCAAAGTGTCGAGGAAGAGTTCCGTCAGCACGACGGTGTGGTGACGATCTTGATGTACTACCGTCGCAAGGCTTCGCCTAAGCACCGCTACAATATTATCGAGGACTATGGTGGAAGGGGGCACCGCACACGGCTAAGAATATGATCACGTGGATCAACTTGTGTCTCTAGGGGTGCCCCTGCCTCCGTATATAAAGGTTCAAGGGAGGGGGGCCGGCCGGCCAAGGTTTGGCGCGCCAGGAGGAGTCCTACTCCTTCTGGGAGTAGGACTCCCCCCCTTTCCTAGTTGGAATAGGATTCATGGAGGGGGGGAGGAGAGAGAGGAGGAAGGGGGGTCGGCCCCCTCTCCTTGTCCAATTCGGACCAAGGGGGGAGGGGCGCGCGGCCCATCTCTGGCCACCTCTCCTCTCTTCCACTAAGGCCCACTAAGGCCCATATACCTCCCGGGGGGTTCCGGTAACCTCCCGGTACTCCGGTAAAATCCCGATTTCACCCGGAACACTTCCGATATCCAAACATAGGCTTCCAATATATCAATCTTTACGTCTCGACAATTTCGAGACTCCTCGTCATGTCCGTGATCACATCCGGGACTCCGAACAACCTTTGGTACATCAAAATGCATAAGCTCATAATATAACTGTCATCGTAACCTTAAGCGTGCGGACCCTACGGGTTCGAGAACAATGTAGACATGACCGAGACACGTCTCCGGTCAATAACCAATAGCGGAACCTGGATGCTCATATTGGCTCCTACATATTCTACGAAGATCTTTTATCGGTCAGACCGCATAACAACATACGTTGTTCCCTTTGTCATCGGTATGTTACTTGCCCGAGATTCGATCGTCGGTATCCTATACCTAGTTCAATCTCGTTACCGGCAAGTCTCTTTACTCGTTTTGTAATACATCATCCCGTAACTAACTCATTAGTTGCAATGCTTGCAAGGCTTAAGTGATGTGCATTACCGAGAGGGCCCAGAGATACCTCTCCGACAATCGAAGTGACAAATCCTAATCTCGAAATACGCCAACCCAACATGTACCTTTGGAGACACCTGTAGAGCTCCTTTATAATCACCCAGTTACGTTGTGACGTTTGGTAGCACACAAAGTGTTCCTCTGGCAAACGGGAGTTGCATAATCTCATAGTCATAGGAACATGTATAAGTCATGAAGAAAGCAATAGCAACATACTAAACGATCAGGTGCTAAGCTAATGGAATGGGTCATGTCAATCAGATCATTCAACTAATGATGTGATCCCGTTAATCAAATAACAACTCTTTGTCCATGGTTAGGAAACATAACCATCTTTGATTAACGAGCTAGTCAGTCAAGTAGAGGCATACTAGTGACACTCTGTTTGTCTATGTATTCACACATGTATTATGTTTCCGGTTAATACAATTCTAGCATGAATAATAAACTTTTATCATGATATAAGGAAATAAATAATAACTTTATTATTGCCTCTAGGGCATATTTCCTTCACTTAAGTGATCTTTCCTTGCTAACAATATATTTGTGGTTTCTTCCACCATGATCTTAACTATGATCTTCTCATAAAGACCCCTAAGAAAGTTATTTTATTTTATTCAGTTTCCTTCTAGTTATTTGACTTATTTCCATTATGACCTTAACCAATACCAACATGTTCCCATTAATTGGTTATTAAAGTTAAAACAACGACATGTATCTTTTAATTTAGAATGATGGAATTTCTCTCGCATGGAGCAGCACCTCTGCAACTGCAACTACCTCCGGTATTAGTCCTAACACCTCTGCATTTAACTGCAGCGTTAGTCGATTGCAGCACGACTGTTAGTTTTCCACTACTAAGTAGAGCACTCGTGCTTGGCCATTCTTTTTTTTGTTTTTGTGAAACGCTTGCCCATTCTGGTATATAGTGCCCCTGAAACAACACACCTATGAACCATCCTTCCTTCTCCATGACGTGTGAGCTTGGCAGCTCAAACATCTGAAATTGGTACTAGAAGTCTCTGCCAATCTCAAACATGTAGCTAACTCAAGTATTTTGTTTCCTCGGTTGTTTTATCAAGAATGGGTTTGGGTTGGAAGACTTTCATCATACCACAGGAAAGGAGAACATACTAGACGTGGACGATCTCTGCTGTTGAGTGTTAACCCCTGCAGGATCAGATTTGTTGGAACCATCAGAATAAACCACCACCCCAGATCTCGGTTCCGGAAGCCGATTGCGGATTGGAGCAGAATATTTGTGGTAACACCGCCATGTTGTCCATTTTTTGGGCGCGTGACAGATTTTGCTGGACTGCAAAGTGGAAACCGGGCTTGTCATGCCGATGAGTGAAATGCGCCACTAGTGCACGAACTCAAATTAATTGCACATTTTGACCAACAACTGGAGAAGTGATTGGTTTAGCCCCACAACTCGTTGATTTGATCAAATAAGGCCAAAACCGGCCTGACCGGGAAAAAAACCGGCTACGTAGATGCTATGTCATCGTCCCTTTAACTACCATGAATTCACTATTTTTTATGGGGGTCTATTTGCAAAGTGGCCGGGTTTTCTTTCACAAATCATGATAATGTCATTTGGAGTGAAAAGGTTCTAAAAATTTGTGTTTCCTAGGACTTGAACCTTGGTCGTACAACATAGACAATGCCTCAGCAACCACTGGAACAACAACGGGTATGTATATATAATATTAAAACGTTTGTTCTAAGGATTTGAACACAGGCAGTCTAGTTTAGAAATTGGCTTCCTGACCAATACACCATGAAGCAATTCATGTTCCAATAGGCAGCCTTTTGCTATACATGTATATACACTATGAAGTGATTTATGTTCCAATAGACGGAATATATAAAAGTAATATATATACATCTTGTCGACAATATAAAATGTCACATTCAATATATAACTCACACTTCAGACAATATATAGAACATGACTTCAATGGCAATAGCATTCGTAAGGCAACAGTCAAGTGAAACATAAGGAGAGAGATCGCCTGATTGAAAAACGATCGGATGGGAATGCCTGATTTTTCTCTCTCTCCTGATTCTACGTATAAATAGATCCTCTGGGCTGCATTTCGGTGTGCAAACCTGGTGTTGTTGTAGTGGTCATTGAGACATTGCATATTCCTAACAGGTGAGGTACAATTTTCTAATAAAGTACTTTTTCACTCCAAACGACTTTAGCATGGTTTATGAAAAAAAACCAGGCCACTTTACAAGTAGACCCCTGTTAAGAATAGTGAATTCACGAGCAGTCAAAGGAATGATGACATGGCATCCATGTGGCCGTTTTCTTCCCTGTCCGGCCGGTTTTGGCTTTATTTGATCAAATCAACGGGTTTACGGACTAAATCCGATCACTTCTTGAGTTGTTGGTTTAAAGTGTGCAATCAGTTTGAGTTCATCGACTAGTGGCGCATTTGACTCTCATGCCGACGGTCTGCTTGTTAGAAACTCTGCTCTTTGAGGCTTTGAACTGCAGGTCGCAGGCGATTACATAGGAATAGGATCTAAGCAAACACAAGAACTGAACTTGATGCCAGTAACTAACTGAAATTCGACACTATTGCTAGCTGAACCTTAGTACATACACGCGGCAGGATTAACCAACAAATTCCTCCTTCCATATCTACATTACCGAACAGGTGCCCGGCTCCGGCCGCGAGCATGGGTACCCGCACGCCTCGACCGCGGCTGCAGGGTAGTGCTGCTGCCCGTAGAAGACGTTCACCGGCGCCGGTTGCGATGGGTAGTAGTAGCCGTACGGGTAGGAGTACCCCGAGTGCGGGTAGTGTTCGACCACGGCGGCCGCCGGCTTCTTCGGGTCCTCCTTCTTGACGTCGCCGACCTGCAGCAGCTGCGCGTGGCCGACCTTCCTGCGAAGGGCGCTGGTGAGCTTGACCGAGTCGACGCCGTGGCCGACGACCACCACCTGGTCCTTGGCGTCCCCGGCCAGCGCCACCGAGTCCACCCCCGGCGTGGCCGCCACCAGCGCCAGCGCCTTGGACCGGCACCTGCTGCTCGCCATCTGCACGGCGATCACGATCCTCTGCGTCATTGCTGGCTGGCTGCTGCGTCTGGTTGTGAGTGGAGTGGAGGTGGAGCTTGCGGTGGGTGAGAAGCAGAGTGCCCTTCGCTGCAAGGATGCAATCCGTATATATAAGGCCAGAATCAAAGAGGTTGGGCGAGCGAGAAAGCAGAGTAGCAGCTTCGTTGGAGGTTTCCACACTGATGAAGACGCGGTGCAGCAAGAAGACTTGTTTTGTTTATACGACTTGGGCTTTTAAACTCACACTCACTGCGCTCTGTCTCGTTGCCTCGGACGCGTTGTCAGTTTTGTCCCGTTGCTTGCCAACCACGGGAACTCCACTTGTACTCATACTACGGTCCTGTTTGGATATGAGTTGGAGGTTAGAGTTAGATTCTAACCCTAAATTAATTCTAATCAAAAAGGTATTTGAATGACATGATTAGATTGACAATAAATGTTCTTTCTCAACCATTTGGCTACTTTAAATCCTATTTATTGAGTATATGTGTTGTGCATATTTATGTATTGGGTTCACCTCCTAGTTGTCTTGTATAGTTAAGGTCATAGCCTACTCCTGTACATCATATATACGCGCGTTTGCACTTGAGGAATACAACACATAATTCCCACATCATACATGGTATCAGTTTTTTAGAGTATTTAACAAAAAACTACCACAATTCATGGAACCGTGCCTATAAACTACCACTTTACAAATTTGTGCGAAAAACTACCATTTTTTCACTAATCTTTGACTAAAAACTACCATGTATAAAAAGTGTCCGATTCAACTTGTTTAAACTCAATTATGACGAGTTGGCCCACACGTCAGTATAGAAAAAGCAATCAGCCCCCCAGCTCGCCCATCTCGCCGGGAAGGCACAGGCACGCCGGCAGCCCCCACACGCTCCAATGCGAGCAAGATGGCCGGCGGCGGAGACACTACCGCACTAGCTGCTTGTGTACGGTGTACCCAACACCGTCGGAGTTGCCAGGCTAGCTAGCCATGGCCATGCACTACCGCTGCTCGTTGCGGTCGGAGCTACCACTTGCCAGGCCAAGCTGCGTAGCGGCCCTGCTGGCCTCGCTACATGCTGCCGCGAACCGCGTCGCACCTGCTCGCCTCGTCCGTGCAGCGGTGACGCGCCGCCGCTGGCCGCCATGCTCTGCCGTGAGCCGCTGGTCGCCGCATGTACCCCGCAGGCTTCGTCGACTGCGTCGGGAGGACCTCTCCCCCTGCGACGACCTTGCCGACCTCGCCGGCGCCGCCAGCGTTTCCCGCCTCTGGTGCAGGTTCGGACCACCTCCCCCTCTTTCTCGCACGCGCTCCCTGGTGGCTGCCGCGCCCCGCAAGTCTCGCCGCCTGCGCGTGCCGAGCTCACCGCATGTGCCCGCTGGTCGCCAGGTGGGGAAATCAGTCGATGAGAGAGAGGGAAGGGGAAAAAGCAGGAGGTACGCACGCCGCCGGCGACGACGTCTGGCAGGAGGATGGAAGGTTTGGCGCCAGCCGCTCCGGCCACACCAGCTCCGCCATGAACTCAGAGGAGGCACGCGGGTCACCGGAGAAAGAGATCGAGGCGGCGGTGGTCTTCACCGGAGAAGGAGGCGGAGGACCCGATTGCTTTTTTGAAGAAAAACTAGGGACCCGATTGCATTTTTAGCCCGTTTATGTGTGGGGTCGGGCAGTCAGATTTGCGTTTAACCCAGGTAAAGCGAGCAGTTTTCACACTTGGTAGTTTTTTGTCACGGATTAATAAAAAAGTGGTAGTTTTCGGTACAAAATCGTAAAGTGGTAATTTCCTGTCACGTTTCCGCGAATTGTGGTAGTTTTTGGTTAAATACTCCCGTTTTTTAGGTTTTCTCCTTGCTTCCGCCGCCGCCGCCGTGTGCCTCCCTCCCCGCTAGCCGCGCGCCTCTCGCGCTGCTGGCCGCCTCCCGATCACGCCTGCTGGCCGCCTCTCGCTCGCGCCAGGACACCTCCCCGCTAGCCGCCAAACAAAGCCAGCCACCGATCGCGCCTGCACACTTCCCCGCTAGCCGCCAAACCATTGATCGTGCATGCACACTTTCCCGCTAGTTGCCAACAAATCAATCGCAGAGCCTGTTGATCACTACCCCAGCTCGCTAGCACACATCGCCGCCCGCGTTCGCTAGCTCCGAGCCGCTCCACCAAGCAGCCCCCGCCGCTTCGTGTCGTAGCTGTCTTTTTCCTCTCAGTTTTCGCCGCAGCAACCGTGCCGTCTCACCCTTGCGATGTCGTCCGTCATCTCTTCCACGTTCATCAATTCCAACCCGTTCGCCAACGCCAACCCTCCTAATGTGAACGTTCTTCGCAACCTGAACATCTTCGAGCCGGTGCCGGTTCGTCTCTTCCAGACGAACTCCTCCTACTACACGTGGATGACGTATTTTCTCCTCGTGTTTCGGGAGTATCACCTCATCGACCACATGGACGGCACCGTCGACTCCAGCCTCGTCCCCAGTTCCATGACTGGTCCACCATCGACACCACGATCATCCGCTGGTTTTTCCTCACCATCTCGCCGGACCTCTTCCAGACGGTCATGGCGGACGGTGACGATGCCTGCGACATGTGGACCAAACTGAACGGGCTCTTCATCGACAATCAACTCCAGCGTCGTGTTTTTTTGCAGCAAGAGTTTTTTGGGTGTCACCAGGACAACGCCTCCATCGACGACTATTGTCGCCGCCTGAAAACTCTCGCTGACGAGCTCCGCGATATTGGCGCGAAGATCGATGATGACCTCCTCCTCAGCACGCTCACCGCCGGGCTCAACAAGGACTTCGGCAACGCCGCGGCGAATCTCAGCCTCATCCCCAACCCGTCCTTCGCCAAGTTCGTTGCGTATCTCCGCTTGGGGGAGCGGCGGATGAAGCAGGTGAAGGCGCGGGCCATCCACACCGCTCTCGCCGCCGGCACCACCCGCGGCGCCTCCGCGGCGCCTCCCGCCGCCCCGACCGCGCCCCCTTCGCAGCGCCATCCGGCGCCATCCCCGGCGTCGCCGCCGTACCCGGCCACCCAGCAGTCGGGGCTACTCCCGCTGCCCTATGGGCTGCCTGCCCCTCCCGCCGAACGGCGCTGCGGGGGTCGGCGCGGTGGGGGCCGCCGCGGTGGTCAGCAGCAGCAGCCGCCGGGTGCCGGCCAGCCACGTCAGCAGCAGCAGTAGTTCCAGGTGCCCCCTCCGTGGGCCTCCGGCTACAACCCGTGGACCGGTGTCGTTCATGCCTACACCATGCCGGTTCCACGGGCTCCTGCACCGACCCTTCCTGTGCCGCGCCCACCGACGCATCAGGTGTACTACGCGGCTCCGCAGTCGTACGGAGGATACCCACTGCCGCAGCTAAGTGGCGCCTACGGTCTCCCTGCGACCCCGACGCCACCCTCGCCGGCCCTGCCACCGGCTCCTTGGGATCCGGCGCTCCTCGCCGCGCTGCACACTGCGCCTACACCGAACAACTACACTGGAGGCGGTGATTGGTACATGGACACCGGGGCTACGGCTCACATGTTTGCTCATCCTGGTAATCTTGCCTCCTTCACTCCCATCACCACCGAGCGCCGCATCATTGTTGGCAACGGTTCCACCCTCCCTATCACACATGTCGGGCACACTTCTTTTCCTTCTAATTCCATGCCTATTACTTTGTCTAACATACTTGTCTCACCTCATCTTATTATGAACTTTGTTTCCGTTCGTTGTTTAACCCGTGAAAATCCTGTTACTGTTGAATTTGACGAGCTTGGTTTTTGTGTCAAGGACGCTCGAACCAGGATGGTACTTCACCGATGTGACAGCCTCGACGAGCTCTCTCTGGTGCATCCGTCGTCCACCTCCACCACTGCACCGGTTGCTCTCTCCGCCGGCGTCGATCTCTGGCACGCTCGTTTGGGTCATCCTAACCCCGTCACACTTCGTCATATTCTTAGGAGTTTCAGTTTCAGTTGTAATAAGATAGAGGATCACACCTGTCATGCATGTCGTGTCGGCAAACATGTTCGCCTCCCGTTTAGTAACTCCACCACCATAGCTTCTTTTCCTTTTCAGTTGATTCATAGCGATGTGTGGACCTCTCCGGTTCCTAGTAATTCGGGCTATTTATATTATCTGGTTATCCTTGATGATTATTCTCACTATGTGTGGACGTTTCCTTTACGACGAAAGTCAGACACACTCTCCACTTTGACGGCTTTTTAATCCTATGTCAGCACGCAGTTTGGGCGTCCCATTCTTGCTCTTCAGACTGACAATGGAAAAGAGTTCGACAACCTTGCTTTCCGCACTTTTCTGTCGCACCACGGCACATTTTTTTCATCTCACATACCCGTATACTTCACAGCAGAACGGTCAAGCCGAACGCGTCCTTCGCACTCTAAACGACTGCGTTCGCACGCGCTTGTTCCATGCTAATGTGCCGCCTCGTTTTTGGCCAGACGCACTCGCTACTGCTTCACTTCTCCTTAACATTCGCCTTTGCCGCCCACGGTGGAACTATGCACCTCACCATCTTCTCTTCGGTACGCCCCCATCTTATGATGGCTTGCGTATTTTCGGGTGCCTTTGCTATCCTAGCACTGCCGACTCCGCTCCTCACAAACTCGCACCTCGTTCTGTCGCTTGCATTTTCATCGGCTACCCCTCTAACTCCAAGGGATATCGGTGCTACGATCCCGTCTCCCATCGTGTCTTCACTTCCCGGCACATTTACTTTGATGAGCATGTGTTTCTGTTTCAGGAGGTACCCCCGGCTATTCCTCCCGCCACCGGTGACGCGGGCTCTTCGATGCCTGTCCCAGGGCGCTCGCGCGCCTCTCTTAGCCCGCCCCCTGGCTTTGAGGCGCGCCCCTCGCTTACGGTGCCTCCTACAGCCGCGACATTGGCGGCCCCGACGCCCCCGACATTGGCGCCCCCAGCCCTCCCCCCCCCCGGCGCCCCCCTCGGCGC